ATAGTGGGTAAGACATTTGGCTGCTAACCAGAAGGTCAGTGGTTCAAACCCACCAGCTGCTCTGTGGGAGGAAGATGAGGCAGTCTACTTCCGTAAAGGCATAGAATAGAGCCTTGGAAATCCAATGGAGGTCACTATGAGTTGGAATCGACTCAATGGCATGAGTTTGGTTTGAGTTATCTCCGTTTGGACACTTGCACTAATGGTCTAAATCAAAGAAAGGTATCTAAAACTACTAGTGTCTCAGGACTCAAGGCAGTGGCACTATAAAGGAGCTTAAAAGAACTAAGGAGAGGCTTCTGCCCAAATGCAGTCGAGACTCCATTTTTTTCTATTTACTGCTTCTTCTGAGCTGACCTTCCAAAGCCAACTAGCCAGCAGACCTCAGGAAGCCTGAAGGCTTCCCTACTTCCCCTTCCTTTCATATCATGCTCCAGTAAGAACTCTCACTAAGGCTGGCCCTCCAAATAGCCATAGACTTGAATTTTTCGATTAGCAAAATAATGTTTAAGGGATCTCGTCATTGACTTGTGTCTATTAAAGCACGATTTTTGTAAATGTCAACCAATCAGATTTGTTTCCTTCTAAGTTCTCAGATTTCCTGTGGTTAATTCTGTGAAAAATTCCTTACGCTGCAGAACTTCGGTGTATCCTTCTGGGTTGCTTTGTTCCCTCAATGAACTCTTTGCTTTACTTTGAACAGAAGCCCCAGTTTGTTCCTTGACAGCACTAAACTGTACGAGTAATCACTGTATCCTTCATCACTACGCACTCTGGCTCAAGGAGCTCTGGTGGTGTAATGGTTAAGGCATGTGGCTGCTAACCAAAAAGTTGGTGGCTTGAACCCACCAGCTGCTCCATGGAAGAAAGATGGGGCAATCTGCTTCTGTAAAGATTTATAGCCTTGGAAACCCAAGAGGGGTCACTAGGAGTCGGAACTGACTCAGTGGCAGTGATGGCAGTGGTTTTTGTTGTTGTTGTTGTTGACTCTGGGTCAGGGGGATAGGAGTAGTTTTCATTTAAGAATGTCCTTGATAAAGCAATATAAATTAACTTATTCAATCTTGGGGGAAGAAATAAAAAGGAAGGTAGGCCAACATATCCAAGTCAAGACAGCATGGTATTTGCAAAAGAATAGACAGATCAATGGAATAGAATAGAAGGCCTAGAAAAAGAGTGATCTTTGATATAGGAGCAAAGGCAGTTCAATGGAGAAAGGATAATCTTTTCAACAAATGGTATGTCCATATGCAAAAAAATGGATCTTGATACAAAAAAAAAAAA